AGCATTCTGACACGTGCACTATGCGTGTGGGCCCTCGGATTCCTTAAGATTAAGGGTGAAACTGGAGATTGCTGCAGACATTATCACCGTTGGCGTATTTCCTTTTTATTTTATCGGTTTTCCTTTTTACGTTGTAGGTTTGTAAGGCAGATGAGAAATTTAACCAGCTGGTACACTTTCTTCGCAATCACAAGCAGGAAAAGCACCTGGTCTTCTTCAGGTAACGCTGCTGGGCCCTGGGGCGGGGCGGGGAGGGCCTGGCGCAGCCACACCCAGAGCGCGCAGGCGAGGCCCCGGGTGTGGGGTCCTGAGTCCCGCGGTGGGCCAGTCCTGACGGGGCTCCTGTCTCCTCGACGTCAGGGTCGGCATTTCTGCAGTTGTCCTGGCCTCTCCTTCCTGTATATGTCACCTCATAGTTTCAAGAGGGTCACTGTCACAGCCTGGTCCTCCTTGCGTGCGACCCGACGGAGGGGGAAGGGCGCACAGAGGGAGGGAGGCAGTGTCAGCTGCGTCCGTCCTTTTTGATCGGGAGGGCGGGAAGCTTTCTCGGCGTCCCCTGCTCCCTGGCTGGCTCCCCTTGGATGCTGTGGCCAAAGGGGGTCGGTCACCTGGGGCCCTCGCCGTGGACAGGTGCAGAGAGGGACTGCCCCTGTGCCCGCCTCTGCGGCGCGGGAGGCGAGGGGGCCGGCAGATCGTGGTGTCGGATCAGCCAGGCCCGTGTTGCCACCTCGGGGTTCGAGCCGTTGTCAGAACGTGGCCGGGGGCAGCTGTGTGCATTCTCTGCCCCCCCCCCCCCCCGCTGCGCCCCCACAGACCGACCTGCGGAGGTGTGTTTTGGCAACGCCAAGAGAAGCTGCTTTTCCATCGGCCACCCCACCAGTACCGTGCACTAGCCGTACTGACCCACAGATAAGGGTACAGCCTGGTGCACACACACGTGCAGGCACGCGTGTGCATGCATGCAGAAGGATGTCACAAAACCGCACCTGACTGGAGGGGCGGGGAACAGCCCGGTGTGTTCTGTCTGCTCCCAAGCCCCTGACTTGATGCCAGGCCCCAGCGGGGCGCTCTCAGGACCTAAGTGCTTCATCACGTCCCGACGGGACTTGCGCTGGGAACAGTGAGGCCGTCTCTTAGCACAGGTGTCTCCGACGGAGGTGTTCCAGAGACAGGAGTCGGCTCAGGCTGGGGCCCCGCAGCCTGGTGCGCCCTGGTGCGCCCTGGTGCAGCCTGGAGAGGGGGTCAGGCCCAGGCTCGGGCTCCGCCCCTCGCTCACTTCGCCTCTCTGCAAGCTCTGGCTCCCTGCCCTGTGAAGGGGCGGGGCGTCACGTGTGTCCTTCCAGATGAAGGGGGCTTGGGGTGATCCTGCTCAGAGGGGCGTGGCTTGGGGGGCCACAGACTCAGAGAAGGTCGGGCGGGCAGCCATTGGGAAGACACGGGGGGGAGTCCTCCGCCGATGTCCTCGGTGGCCTGAAGCCCAGACCGGACAGCCGGGAGAGGGCCGGCGGGGCCTGACTCGGGCGACCGTTGGGCCCGGGGACCACGGTCGGGGGAGAAGCTGCTCCGCGGAGGAGGCGCAGGCGTGTGGGGAAACCTTCAGAAACTGGATTTAGGCTGTCACCGTCTCTGTGATGAAAGACTGCTTAACGCGCGTCTTGGGGCCGGGGCTCCCCGTGCTGGGTCGTGTTCAGGCGGTGGGAGTGTGTGCTCGGGGTTCTGAGCCGTGTGTTTCGAGATTGGGAGCCTAGCGGCGGCTCTTCGCGGCCGCTCTGCCTCCCCCGGGGACGGGCCAGCGCGGCGTCGGGGGCTCCGGCCGGCGACTGAGCCCCCGCCGCCCTCGCAGCACCTGCGCCTGCGTGGAGTACTACGGGAAGGCCCTGGAGGCGCTGCTGCGCGGCGTGCAGGTCATGTGCCTCCACGGGAAGATGAAGCACAAGCGCAACAAGGTCTTCACGGGCTTCCGCAGGCTGCAGAGGTGAGGCCTCGCCGGGGCGGGGCAGCTCCAGCCGCCGCCCGCCGGAGCGCTGCTCCCCCGTCCCCGCCCCCCACCCCCCCCCGTCTTCTCTGTGGGCGTGCCCCCCCCCCACTTGTCCCTCTGCCCTGGCCTCATCACGCTTCGCTGCACGGGCTTCCTCAGCTCCCTGTCGACCCCCCCGTGAGGTTGTGAGCTCCACGGGAACAGGCACGTGTGTGTCGTGGAGTCCACGCCTGGGTTCCCGGGGTCTGGCCGGGGCCTGGCCGCTGGGGTTTCGTAACTGCCCGTTGTGGGGGCAAGCGGGTCACCGAGCAGGGCATTCCCTCCAGCCTGCAGGTCATCCAGCGGTGACGATGGGGGGCCGTGTGTCTCTCAGGGACCGTGGCTTGATTCTGTTTGTGCACAGAACGATCCTTGTCTATTTTTTTTCAAGAGAATTTTTGTAAGTTTATTTGAGCCAACCTGATGACATGCTGTTAAAAGCACGTGTTTGGGGAAGTGACGGAACCGATTGCCACACCTCAGTCAGGGACAGAGCGTCTCCCTGGCTTTTTCTCACCGGCTGTAGAGGACCAGGCCCCCTGCGGTCTCTCTCCAGGCGGGAGGACACAGAACTTCAAGGCCCTTCGAGTCCCTGCCCCACCTCCTGTGTTTCTTGGGGGCTCCTGAAGCCCTGGAGGGTCTTGGTCGGGGGGCAGGGAATGAACGAAGATGTTCGTGCTAAGCATTTGCTTCGGGGAGAGCTCCTGGCACTGGTTACTGCCGGCACCGCCGAGCTGGGGGGCGCCTGTTGGGTGGGGACGGGAGCGTGGCCCCCGTGACGGCGTTCCCTCCCTTCCCAGCGGGGTTTTAGTGTGCACCGACGTGATGGCCCGAGGAATAGACATCCCCGAGGTGCACTGGGTGCTGCAGTACGACCCTCCCAGCAACGCGAGGTACGGCCACAAACGGGAGAGCCGGAGGGTGGGCGGGTCGCCTCCGTGGGAGCTGTGACGCCTGCTCCGCCGCCATTGCAGGCGCTTCCAAATGCTCCTGGTTCTCGGTGTGTCTAACCGCCAGCTCTCCTGTGTCAGCATCGGCTGGCGGCAGAGCGGGGCCTGAGCTGCAGGCGGGCGGCCCCGGGCCTGCTCTGCTCTGCGCAGCCACCGTCACGCGTGCTCGCGTCCCCACCCTGTCTTCGCAGCGCCTTCGTGCATCGCTGTGGCCGCACGGCCCGCATCGGCCATGGGGGCAGCGCGCTGGTGTTCCTCCTGCCCATGGAAGAGTCCTACGTCAGCTTCCTCGCCATCAACCAGAAGGTGAGCCGCCCGCCGGCCGGAGGAGTCCTCCTCCAGCAGGTGGTCTGGAACCCGGGCTGGGGGTGGCAGCCCCCCGGGGCCAGGCCGGTGACGCCCCTGCAGGACCCCGGCCAGCCTCAAGGCTGCGCAGAGACACCGGCCTCACCCGGGGTGGCCGCCGCGGCTCGCCCCCAGCTGGCTGTCACTCGTGGGCACTCGTGGGAATGCGGACCTGATGCTGCCCTGCTTCCCAACCGGGAGTCGGGGTGTTGCGCAAAGCCTAATTTTAAGATTTCCTTCAGAAACTTAGAAACACTTTCAGACCAAGCAGAACCCGTGGGCTGGCCTGGGGCTCAGGGCTCGGGGCCTGTGACGGGGGCTCAGACCAGCCGCTCTGCCTTTGCTGGCTCGGGCTCTGGGGGGCGTCGGGGGCCGGGGGCAGTGCGCTGTGGGGAGGGGACTGAGCGCGGTCCCTGTGCAGTGCCCCCTGCAGGAGATGGCGCCGCAGCGGGACCCCGCGGACCTCCTCCCCATGCTCCGGTCCATGGCCCTGGCCGACCGGGCCGTCTTCGAGAAGGGCGTCCGGGCGTTCGTGTCGCACGTGCAGGCCTACGCGAAGCACGAGTGCAGCCTCATCTTCAGGCTGAAGGGTGAGCCGGGCCGCGCGCGGGCGTCCCCGTGGGGGCGGGCGGTCCCCCTGGCGCCGGCCGGGTCGGGGCCCCTCCGCTCTCGGCGCTCCACGGGAAGGCCCGGGGTGTGCGCGGGCAGTGAGCTGGCTGCCGAGGGTCCCCCCTCAGCGGAGACGGAGTCCGTGTGACTCCCACCACGACGAACCCGGGAGGGCCTTTGGTCGGAGAGCCGTCCTGCCGGCCCCCGCCCCGGGCGCGCGGCTCACTGTGCCGCCCGGCTCCCCAGATCTGGACTTCGCCGCGCTCGCCCGGGGCTTCGCCCTGCTGCGGATGCCCCGGATGCCGGAGCTGAGGGGCAGGCAGTTCCCCGACTTCGAGCCCGCGGACGTGGACACGGACAGCATCCCGTTCAGAGACAAGGTCCGGGAGAAGCAGAGGCAGAAGCTGCTGGAGCAGCGCAGGGAGGAGAAGACAGACAGCGGAGGGAGGAGAAGGTTCATGAAAAACCAAGCGTGGTCGAAGCAGAAGGCCAAGAAGGAGAAGCGGAGGAGGAAGGGCAAGAGAAGGAGGGAAGAGGTGAGGCCCGCACACCCGCCCGGGACCCCGAGCCGGCTCCCTGGAGCAGCGCCCTCTGGTGGCGCGGCAGGGGCCCGCAGGTTCGCGTGTCCCCGTGGGGATTGTGGGGGGGAATGCAGTGTGTCGGATCGGGGGGCGGGGGCGGGGGTTTGCCAGGGGCCCCTCAGACCCTGTGGCCGGGAAACGAGGGTGTGCTGTGGCCTGTGTGCACTCAGGGCTCGGACACGGATGACGAGGACATGGAGGAGCTTCTCAGTGACACGAGGCTCCTCAAGAAGCTTAAGAAAGGCAAGATCACGGAGGAGGAGTTTGAGAAGGGGCTGCTGACCGGGGCCAGAGGGCCGGTCGGGACGGCAGCAGAGCTGGGGGGTCTCGGATGTGGAGGGGGACTGCTGACCCCGGGGCCTCGCGTGCCGGGCGGCGTGTGCTGGCGTCCCCGTGACCGGAGCCCCGGCCGGCGCCGTCGCTTCTGTCTGGGGAGGGCGGGGCTCTCACCTCCTGGATGTTCTACTGAGAACACGCAGTCCGGCACACGATGTAAAATTGAGTGTAAATATTAGACGTTAGTATTTATTTTTTGATGGGTCACCTGTAATTAAAGAGCTCGTTTTTCTGGGCTTACTTTGTACTCGTTTCTAACGTGCAGACACTGAAGCGCACTTGACTTCAGGCAGCTGACCGCCGTGTGTCCGGCAAGGCCAGGGTCCTCCTCCTCCTCTCCTGGGCAGGGGAACGGCCCGGGGGCTCTCTTCCTGGGTGGCAGCAGGTGCCAGCCCGAGGGAGCGCGTCAGGACCCGGCACAGAGCACCGTGACGCCTCCTGTCGAACGAAGTGTGCTTCCTTCCGGCCCACGGAGCCGGGAGTGGGTGGGCGCAGCTGCAGGGCCTCACCGAGGAGGGCCTGGGGCAGCACGCAGCACAGCGCAACCCCGCAGCGAAGTCTCTCGTGCCGTTCACTCGGAAAGGTGCTGCGCTCGCTCCCAGACACGGCGTTCCCAAGGTGCTCAGGTCCCAGCCGTGTCAGGTCCACATCTTTCAGAGACACGGAACTGCACAAACGTTCTGGCTGGCGTCTCGTTTTGGGGGGCCGTGTGGCAGACGCCTGCTGACGGCTGTCCCGCCTCCCTCTGCTGGGCTTGATCCCGGGTGCCCGATGCCGGCTGCGCAGGAGTGCACCGCCTGCCTTACACGGCACCACGAGTGTTGCGTGGCCGGGGCGGCTGTTAGTTCCCGCAGGGAGAGCGCCTGTGTGGTCAGGCGGCGTCTCCTCGGTGGCTGCCTTTGGCAGATCGGCCTGTGGGCGGCGGAGGGTGCCGGGAGGGGACTCGGGCTCAGCTCTCACTGGCTAAGTAGCCAACAATTTAATGTGTATTTCTGGAAACAGGAAATGAAAAAGTATCTGGAAGCTGTCAGTACAACTTAGGTTGAGTTTTAGGGGAACCCTGAACATGTTTAAATGGGACTGAAATGAAAACAAAGTTCACCAAAACCTATGATTTTAAGTCCTTAGTCCACAAATCTTCATTAAAAAAAACAATCTCGTCTTGGCCCGGCTCAGCGAGGGGTCCGGAGGCTCCTCCCCCTGCCCAGTGGCTTCTCCCACACGGGGCAGTGCAGGGTCCCTGGTCACAGGTACAGCTTGATGAGCTCGTCGCTGACTGCAGAGGGCGTCAGCACCCCCAGGTCCGTAAACAGCAGCGTGATCAAGGAGGGGGAGGTGTAGTCCACCCACGGGTGCTCCTCTCGGAGATCCTGTCCCGTCTGCGCCGACAGCAGAGTGGCTGCCTTGTACTGAGAGGGCGGGGAGCACAGGTTAGTCCGCCCCCCGGACTCAGGCTCGCCTGCCGAGGCCCTGCGGGAGCAGGCAGTGCACCCCGAGGTGCGGGTGGGCCACACAGCCCACACGTGTGTCCCCTCACTAGCAAGCAGCCTCCCCAGGTAACGGTGGACAGTGTGCCATGTGCCGGGCAGCATGCTAAGCCCGTCCCAAGACTGGCTCAGAGCCCTCCCAGCCCTGCTCGTGCTGTTGTCCCGATGCACAGACACCCGAGGTCCGGGGCTGCAGAGGGAGGCACATGCCGAGGGCGCCGGGTCAGTAAGTGGCAGGGGAGGGCACTGGGTCCAGACAGTTGGCCCCTAAGCTCGCACTGCTCGCCGACAGCCTTCCTGCCCCCGCACGCAGCCCGTGTGCACGCAGCGCTGCGGGGAGTAGGGGGCTGGGAGACTGCAATTCGGGGCACACTGGACTCTCGGAGTCTCACCACCCGCAGGTCAGCTTTGTAGCCGCCGTGTGGGAGGAACAGCCACGAGAAGGGCGTGACTCACTGAAACATTCTCAGCGTTTCTCAAAGGGTTCAGTTTAGATGCAAACACCCCTCCAAACACGTAAAACTCTTACCTTAAACTTATCCGGGACGTCCTGCTGGTTTAGCGGGAAGAGCCGCACAAACTTGAAACTTTCCGCGACCACGTAAAACGGCTTGTTCTGCGCTTTGGCGCACACGGCCATCTGGTTGGTTCCAATCTGGGGGTCAGAGGTCAGGGGGAGGAGACAGGTGAGCGTCACAGCACGTCGCAGGTAGAAGCAGCGGAGAGTACGAGTGAACAAAACAGATGTAACTCTGACTCTGGAACTGAAGAGGGTCTTTTGAGCAAGACACACCAGCCGGCAATGAGCTCAGGAAAGGAAGCTCAGCATCCTTGGTCAGGAGGGAAATGCAGGTCGAAACCACAGTGAAATGTGACTTCACGCCCACTCGATGGCCACAGCAGCTTTTGGAAGTTTGAGCGGGGAGGGGGGACACCGGAACCGCGTGCACTGCGGGGGGGTGCACCGCTGGGGGGTGCACCGCTGGGGAGAACGAACACTGGTGCAGCCGCTGGGGCCACGGTGGCGGTTCCTCAAAGGGCGGAACACAGAACCACCGCGTGACCCAGCAAGGCCACTCGGGTGCGCACTCCATGGAACCGAAACCAGGACCTCGGCCAGGGGCCTGTACACCCACGTTCGCAGCTGCATTACAATAGCCCAAAAGGGTCTGCTTTGTCCGTCAGCGGACGAATGGACAGACTGGACGTTGGCCAGGACCCGGCCACCAGGAAACGGGAGGCGCTGGCCCACGCTGCAGCCTCGATGAGCTTTGCAAACGGCACTCGAGGCGAAACAAGCTGAACTCCAGGGAGAAACACTATGATTCGACTCATGCGACACGAGGGGCCCAGAACAGGCAGCAGCCGGGGAGACAGAGAGACTGGGAGACGCGGGGAGGGGGTGGTGCAGTCTGCCCAGGGGACCGTCCCGGCTCGGGCGGCACAAGTCTCGGAAATGATGTGCCCACAGCGACGGGGTGTAGTGGACGCCCCTGACCTGTGCGCCGGAAACTCGTTAGGATGGGGGCTTTATGCAACACATACTCTAACGCAGACACAGAAACTGAACTGCCGTGAAATCGGTCCATGTTACCCAACGGACAGAGAGGTTTTAACACATTTTGTTGATAGAAGTGTGCTTAATTAAAAACCAACCAACTAAAAAACCCAATTTCAGGTAAAACATGCTTTGAGGCAATATAAGTTACATCCCCTTGTTTGCATAGTTCAGTCTCCAAAGCAGAGTGGACTCTGACCAAAATGGAACTGACCGCTGCAGAGGCTCCTGGGACTCGGGGAGCCAGTCACCAGGCTGCGCCGGTCAGGCGGCCGAGCCCTGGCACGCGGCACTGCTGGGGGCTGGTCCTCGGGGGCTCCCCACCAGGGGGACTGGGGGGAGCTGAGGCCCCTACCTTGTTAATGATCCCTCCGTTTTCCACAACTCCTTCGGCACCGACTATGACGAGATCCACTTTCTCCATGATGTAGCTGCGGAAGTTAAGGAAGACAGGTTTACGCTCGTTTCCCGGCTCTCGTTAGCCACCTCCCGGCTCTCCGGCCATGGGTCCACCAGCGGAGGGTCACGTTCCCCCGTCACCGCGGTGAACTCCTCCTGTGCCTTTCCTCCCAAGAGCACTGTGCACGAGAGACAGCCCCGGGCACTGCTGCCACTCCCGCTGCCGGGGCGTTAAGGCCCGCCGGCTCCCCGTCGCGTGTCACACTGCACCCAGTGCGTGCACGCGGACAGGCGTGCCTGCAGCGAGACTTTCAGGGCCCGCGATCGGCCCCTAACACGTGCGGCACGCAGTGCCCCCTCCGCCTCCATGCCCGCAACTCTGAGATTCACAGATCCGACGTGAGGTTGGGAGATGGTCTATGACTCAGGCGTCTTCCAGGTGAGAGAACGGCCACTTACCTTTTTAAAAAAAATTTATTATTTGTTTTTAGAAAAGGGGAAGGGAGGGAGAGAAACACTGATCTGTTGCCTGTCGCACGACCCCAACTGGAAGCCTGGCCCACAGCCCGGGCACCTGCCGAGACAGGGAATCGCACCGGTGAGCTGTCAGCTCTCGGGACGACGCTCAGCCCGCCGAGCCGCACGGGTCAGGTCCGGTTGACCTTGTAAAGTGAGCCGTGGTGGCCTTCTCCAAAACGCTTCCTTCCCAACACAGCCCCAATTCCCTTGGTCATCTCCTTATGCGCTTTCCTGGTAAGAGACTGCTACTCCTGTCTCCTCTCTCGAGGGTCGCCCACAGGCCACCTCAGTGCCAGCTGCGTGGGTGCAAAGAATCCCAGTGGCACCGGGGACGCCCGTGTCTTCAGATGAGGCGGCACGGGTCACGTGTGCTGATCAGGACCCGACCCTGACACCTTGCTCTCTCAACGCCTCAAAAGGCTGTGCGAATGACTCTCACCCCCACGTCCTGCGGCCCGCCACTGGGAACAATGTCACGACCCTGTGAGGGCCCCGGCTGGTGCGGCTCCGTGGACCGAGCGCCGGCCTATGAACAGGGAGGCTGTGGGTTCTATTCCCAGTCAGGGCACGTGCCTGGGTTGTGGGCCAGGTCCCCGCTGGGTCGTGTGAGAGGCAACCGATCGATGTGTCTCCCACACACTGATGTTTCTCTCTCTCTCTTTTTCCCTTCCTTCTCCTCTCTAAAAATGAATAAATAAAATCTTAGGAAAAAAAAAAACCCTGTGATGAGTTGCTGTTTAATGCAGCTGTTAATCAGGAGGCGGGACGCGGCCCAGTGCAGGTTTACGAGTGGGACACACACCTCCAGTCCGGGAACCCTGTCCCCTGCCGACCCGGGGGTGGGTGGGGGCGAGACACTGGGTCTGGGGAGGCTGGGCGCTTACCCGATAGCGGCATCCAGGACCACGGTGACAGGAACATTAAGCCGGCAGAGAGCTTTGGCCATTTTCTTACTGAAAACGACATTTTGAAAGCATCAGAGAAAATCCAAGAAAGCCCCGAGGTGGTGCATAACGTGGAGCGTCATTTAAACGCCAACGACAGAGCACGCCAGCCCGAAACTGCGCTGGCATTCCCGGACTGAGGGACAGGCCCCGGGCCTCGGACTCAGGAAGCGAGGGTCTGGGTTCTTCAGAAGGAAGTGTGTGTTCCAGGGAAACGACTCCCCTGGGGACTATGGGTAAGGCGTGCAAATCCAGAACAAAGGAGAACGTTATTCTTTCGTTATCTTCCCAGTAGATGAGACGTGGGCCGTCTGTTCCTTGTTAAAAAATATTGCCGCTCCTCTGACTTCACCGCGAATGAAAGCCCCTGGGTCCCCCACAGTGACCCGCCCTGAAGGCACAGGGGCAGGCGACCTGGGGTGCACTCCGGCCCCTCTCGTGATGGCCGTGGCGGGGCCCATCCCCAGGCGGAAAGGTACTTGCCCGGATAGGTCCGGCTGGGACTCGGTGACATACACACTGAAGCGCTTCTTGGCCACCACTGCCGCCTGCAGGACCCTCAGCACCACTCTGGAGGAGGCGTGAGTCAGTATTTTCTGTGGGCCGAGAGAGAGCGCTCGTCAAAGGGCCGGCCTCCCATGGCCACCACGCCCTGCCACTCCCACGGGCCCCCTGGGCCTAGGGCTCCCCCGTGCGTCCTCACAACTCAGCCGCAGTCAGAGGAGGGTCCCTGACGCTGGGCCGAGCCTGAAGCCCCTGCGCACATCCAGAAAGGTTTCCGCCAGAGGAACGTGTTGGGGTCTCCTCTTCCCCAGCCCGGACGGAACGGGAGCCCCTCACAGGGGATGGAAGCCTTTCTACTGGAGGGCTCCGACTGGGCGGAAAATGGCTGTGTTTGCACCTGGCTTTTGTACAAGTTCCACTCACATTTCTCACGCCACCCATTTAACTACACACTTCAAAGGCTGGGAAGAGGGTAATAAAACAGGACCAGATTTCAGAGTGGAAATGCACGTAAATATTTTTACGGTCAGTGGAGGGCGGACGGCAGGAAGGAGGCAGGCGGTGGGAGAGGCGTCCCAAAGGGTTTACTGGCCCCGTGCGGGGGACGGACTTGACCTGCAGCTCCGGTTCCCCCCCCCCAATCCACCCTGGGCAGCACTGCTCAGACAGCACCTGGAGGGAGCTGGGAGAAAACCTCGGTCCAGAGCCGCCCCCGGCAGGCAGACCGGCAGCCGTGACCAGTGACAGGAGCGGCTCGGTGTCCGCCCGGTGGGTCACGCTAACTCCGAGCACGTCCCAGAGTGAAAATGCTTCCTGAGTCAGGCCTCCTACTGGACCAGGTGTCACCCACGCTGTCCCTGTGTTTCCTCTGCCCGTTTAGAACGACAACCGTGACACTAACATCTGCATGTACACAGTGCTCGCGGGTGCCAGGCCCTGAGCCCAGTCCTTACACGACGCCTCACCACAACCCGGGGAGGTGGGTGCCGTTACGCCCCTTAGGGGGCAGAGGAGCAAAGTGCAGCTCGGAGAGGTCACGGGACCTGTCCGAGGTTACACACACAGCAGGTGACGGCAGAGGGAGGACTGTACCCCAGGGGTCTAACCGCGCAGTCCTGGCCCCCATCGGTGCATGCGGGGGGGCCTGCTCACCGCCCCGTCCTTGATGAAAGTATGGCACAGATCCGCGATCTTGCTTCTCGACAGCGACGTTCTCCTGAGGAAAAGCTCTCCCCGCTCGATCATGATCTCTTTACATTTGGAGAAGTCCTAGGAAGAGGAGAGCAAAATGAGGGAGGGCCGGGGCAGAGACGGGGACGGGGACGGGGACCCGAGGGGGCGGGCTTACAGAGTGCTCCAGGGAGGTGAGGCTGATGAAGCGCAGGAAGAGCTCCCCGCCCGAGGACACGGCCACCGAGGAGTCCACGCCGCACAGGGTCTCGATGGCTCTGGTGAGGTTTGCCCTCAGGCCCTGCATCGTCTCCCCTGCATGGACCAGACGGGCAACGAGACATTCGTCGTCTTAGTGCCACGGGCACTTGCTGGGCACACACTGGGCACCAGGCACCATTCTAGACACGTGGGTGAGCGAGAGACAGGGCCCGGGCTCCGAGGGCGCTCCCTCCCCAGTGGAAGAGGCAGACAGGAAACAAGTACTCAGAGAAATACAGAAGCTCATTACAGATGGTACAAGCACAAAAAAAAAAAAAGCAGCATGATGAGCAAGGTGAGGCTGTGGCAGAGCGAACAGGGATGGCTTCTTGCGGTGGGGGCCACTTAAACTGGGACTGGAGGAGGGGGGATCCGGCTGCATACGGAGCCGGTGCAAAAGGCGCAGGGCCAGGCGGTGACAATGCAGAGGCCCCGAGACGGGAGCAAAGTTGCTGCGACCGAGAGCACGGTTGGTGGAGGGCCAGCGTGGAGGGTCTGTGAGGGGGCGCAGGCGAGGGTTAGGGGTATGGATGCTACTGCAAGTACAGTGAGAAGACGCCAGAGGTGGTCCCGGAGACACAGGTCTCTGGGCCAGCCCTTTGGGCTTTATTGTTTTGCCTACACAAGATGTCATGCCATACCCAGATGCTCACATCGGGAATGCCTGAATTAGTAGGCAGTCGCAATGCAGGACATTAACACCAGAATTTACTCTGGAACGTTCTCTGTAACATCTGCATACAATCTGGCCCAAGACAGCCCATAAACAGTCCGAACGCTGAACTGTTGCTATAATTTAAGCTTCACAGTCAACTTGATATAAGATGGTTATTCTTTTAAATTTTATGTATTTCCTTTTAGAGAGGAGGAAGGGGGGAGAAATAGAGAAAAACATCCACGTGTGGCTGCCTCTTGCAACCCCCTACTGGGGACCCAGCCCACAACCCAGGCATGTGCTCTGACTGGGAATCAAACCGGCGACCCTTTCGTTCACAGGCAGGCACTCAACCCACTGAGCCACACCAGCCAGGGCTAGAATGGTTATCCTTGATTCAAAGTGTATTTCACTTATGAAAGGGAACCCATTGTAGTGGTAACTCGAGGGCTCTCTCTAGTCTAAAAGGAAGAGGGAAATGAAGGAAGAGGCTGAGCTTGGGGCGACATGACGTGATGTAGGCACATGCATGTCCCTCACCGTCTCCACTTCTGACAGGGACCAGGAGACTTTCCCGGGGCCCAGTGTGCTGGAGGAAGGCCCTCACCTTTATCTCGCTTCAGGAACTCCAGCAACGTCCGTATGGCAGCCACGGCTGAGGCCATGTCAGGATCTTCTTTCATCTGAGACTTAAAGTACCCAATTAGCTCTGGAACAGACAGAAACGTGACTCATCAAGCTCGCCCGGCAGGCTGTAAGGCCAGAGGGCTTGGCAGTAATTGCTGACCTTACGAAGCAACCTGATTTAAAAACTTTCTTTTCAAGGTGTTCGGCTTTCAGGGGAATGCCGATGCTTGATGGGAACAGACATGACACCTGCTAAATGACAACGGAAAGGTCCTTCTCCCTCTTCACCGACACCCCAAGTCCTGAGCGCATCCCGGCATCGACCACCTTATCCATTCTCTTGCACCCCCACGGACGGTGTCTGCTAAGTCAAGCCTATTAGCACACAGACTTATTTATGTGTGTGGAGAGGTCCACCCCCTTTGTTTTTTTTTTTTTTAACATGAAAACTACATTAGAGATATTAGTTTGCCCTTGTAGTTCCCTTAGCAAAGCACTTTGACAACCACACTAGATAGGCACACCAAACACGCCTTATTCTTTGACTCTAGCACCAGAGTCATCAGGACAGGGAGTCTCATTCCTACCCCACATAGGGGCACATCGAGACTGCTAAGACTTGCACGCTCCGTCTGAAGCCTCCCTTTTCTGGACGAGGGCACTGGAAAGAAGCGTGGGGAGAGGGGGTGCCTGCGGACACTCCCATTCCCTGGATACGGGACCGCGACAGGGGTTAAGGAACGGCATTCAGCCGGCTGAGCAGCCTGAGCTTGGAACGTGAGCTCTCCCGGAGCCCAGCCTGGGCGTGCGAGGCGGGGAGAACCCCTGGGCGGCTCCGCTGCAGGCCCAGCAGGCCCGTCCCGTCCCGTCCCAATTTACCCCTGTCGTCCATGGTGCCCTCCTGACCGCGGAGCCCGAGGAGCCCGGGGCCGTCCGTGCTGCCCCGAGGAGTCCCGCGAGCGCGCCTGCTCCGAGCCGCAGGGACTGACAGCGCGCCGCCAGGCCCGCACTCCACTTCCGGCGCTCTGGGGGCGGGGCCTGGGTACGGCGCCGGGTCTGGGCCCAACCGCCTGGCGCGTCCCTCGGCGGCGCCGGAAGTCGGTGAGCGCCGCATCCGGGATGCCCGCCTGGTTCCCGGCGGCTCCGTTCTGGGCGACCCCGCTGCCATGGCCTCCGACGGTGAGGGTCGCGCCTGCGGGGCTCGGACACCGCGGCTGGACGGAGTGGGCCGGGTCGGGCCTGGCCGCGTGGAGTTTGTGTTTGGGGCGGGGCGGAATCTGGCTGGTCCTTAGGGGGCTAGCGAATGTATGCATTCAGTAGATCTTTTGGGGTCACCTCCTGTGTGCCAGGCGCTAGTCGCGGGTTGCGCTGGGGACCACAGCAGAGGGCGTGACAGGCCCTCGAGGAGGTCACAGCCTAGTGGGTGAGACGGACCATGATCCTGAAGGGGAGCAAGAGCTATGCAAACAGTGTGATGGGGGTGATGTGACGGACTGCGGTTGAGGGCTCCTGGGGGAGGGACCACTTTAGATCGGCGCCCAGGGGGCGGCAGTGCTGTCGAAACCGAGACGGATGACGGTGCCGACGCCCCGTGGCGAGTCGAGCGGCTACTTCACAGGGAAACAGGAACGGGGACCCTGGGGGGTGAGCGCAGGTGGAGAGACTTCCACTCGTACTTTAAACGACCAGGTATGGAGCCCGATTCCTTGAAGAAAAGAGGGACGGGAGGGACACTGCATGTGTGTGGACACACACCTCTCTCCTGGCAGACAGTGCGCTGTGTCTTCCCCCAGGCTTCCTGATAGCAGCAAGGAATGGGTGTCCTGAGAATTGTGAGGTGCAGGCCGATGGATAGATAATAAGGCCAGAGGCGTAAGATTTATGGGAAGCACCATTTTTCAGTGCTGCTTCTGTGCTGGGCACTTGGTGGTGTGCTTTGCAGGATTAACACAAATCCCCTGTGTCTAAGGAGTCCCCAGTCTCGCATGCGGGGTTGGGAGAGATGAGAAACACAGCGACTGGGAAGGAGGTAGGAGTACTGAGCGTCAGCACTGTGGAGTGGCAGGACCGGGCCGGCCATGGGGCTTTTGGGAGGATCAGCCTTCAGAGCAGGGCATTGGCTTTGCTGTTTGCTGGCAGGTGTGTGACTTCATGCAAGTTACTTCCATTTGTAAAACAGGAATACCATATTTCATCTAATCTAAAACAATATTGATTATGAAACGTGCTTTTATTTAAAATACCACTAAAAAAAGTACTGCACATCTTAATCACCATATACCATCTGATTTCAGCAACTGTGAAATGTAAACAAAAAGAAAAAGGGAGGAGGTACATCTTGTAATTGATGAACGGTGGCAATGACATGACCCTTGCTGGGTTGTCAGCGTGGAGTGGGGTTGTAGGCCTCCCTGCGCCGGGCTGGGGGAAGAGGAGGCAGGCTCCCGAGACCAGGGAGCTGGGGCCTGTTGGAAGACCTAGGAAGGGCTTTCGGAAGAAGGGGGTGGCACTGGTTTGGGGCCCTGAAGAGGAAGTGGGATTTGGAGGGGTGAGCAGGAATCAGAGGTGGGGTGGGGATGACGCTAAGACTGGAGACCGAACTGCAAGAAGGAAAGTATGGGAGCAGGAAAGGCATGGTCGCTTCTCGGCATTAAAGGAGCACCCTGGGTTTTCACAAGAGCACGTGCTTACAGGTTCCAGCGTCTCCTGCGTCAGAATGCAGGCTCCCGAGGGCTCAGACGCAGCGGGCCCAACTGCTGACACTGGCGCTTGGTGTAAAGTCTGTTGCGTGAATGCATGCGTTAAGCTGGGCGACTCCGTGTTGAGGGTGTAGCCTGGTTTCTGTCCCAGGAAAATATTCTTCACATGGGAGTTGGTTTTCGCCTTTTAAAACCAGCTCCCAATCACAGCTGGCGTTGCTGCTAGGGGTTTTGACGTGTTCAGGGCCAAACTGATTCCTGATTCCTTCCTTTAAGCCCCGAAACCCTCCCGCCCCACAACATTTTACTACTAGTGGTTCTTACTGCTGGTTAATCAGTGCTTCTATCACTGACCAGGTATTTAAAGTGCAATAGTGTTTGGGTTCATGTAATAGATACTTACTACGCATCCTCTGTGGCGAGCGGCAGGCTAGGAGCCGAGGAGAAGCAGAAGCGGTGACAGAACAGACAGAAAGCCGTTTCCATTCCAGCGGTGCAGGGGCAGCATTGTCAGGGCAGCGGTGCAGGCGGCAGGCGGGGGCTTGCCGAGGGCCCGCAGACTCCAGGCGTTGACGGGCACTTGACCTTCCCTTAACCTCACGGCCGTCAGATCAGACACACGAAAAGGCACGTGGGATGTCAGCTGGCATTCACTTTCACTGGGCTAATGTGTTTTTATTTCCATTAATGTTTTCAGAAGATGAACTGAACCTTCTAGTTATCATAGTTGACACCAACCCGATTTGGTGGGGAAAGCAAGCATTAAAGGGATCCCAGGTAAGACGGCTTGAGGAGGCCTTTGGGTGATTCTGGGGAAGAGTCATTTCATCACAGAGGATGTGGTGTTTGCTGTCCCCTAAACATTCCACAGAAAGTATTTGTGGAATAGCGTCCTGACACAGAAACGATCCCACATAAGTAAAATTAGAAAACTGTAGTTTTCAAGTGTTTCGGCTCATGGCTTTGGAGGAGGGAGCGCCTGGGCAAATGTTTAGCAGTGGGTGGTTAATATGTCAGTGAAATCTGCGCTAAGAGCCGATACAGGTATTTGCACAGCTGCTTTACCTTTCTGCTGTCTTCCTCCTTCAACAGTTTACTTTATCAAAATGCATGGACGCGGTCATGGTGCTGGGGAATTCGCACCTGTTCATGAACCGTTCCAACAAGCTCGCGGTGATAGCCAGTCACATTCAGGAAAGGTAGGTCGTCAGAAGGGCCCGCGTGGTTCCTGCCCTTCGAGGTGGTCCTGCTGGTCAGCATGTGCCCAGCACTGTCCCACTGTGCGTGGCAACAGTTTGTTCTGTGCCAGTGGACGGCACCGGCGGCACCAAGGGCCCATGCATGCATGCCTCCAGAGGGCGAGCAGTAGCTCATCCGCAGTCGGGTTGCCAGCCGCAGGCACAAAGGAGAATGATGGGATCGGCCAGGCAGCCACCTCTGCGCTACTCGTGGGTCTGCCCCGGAGGCAGGTGAGAGGGAGGTGGGGGTCTGCTCTCCCCGGGGCTCTGGGCCTGCCTCTCCTGGCAGGCGTGTTTCACTGCTCTATGGGCCTCCGGGGTGTGTGTGGGAATCTCCCAGGTGTCGCTGAGGAAGCAGAGTGAGACCCGCCCCCGCCCCGCTGCCCTGGAGGGAAGCATTGGGAGAGATGGAGCCCGGTCCTCCTTGCTTTCCTCCCACCTTCCAGAGGACAGGGGGGTCCTTACAGTGTTCTGTGGTGGTTGACTCGGGTTTCCAACTTGCCTGTTCTGAACGTTTTTAAGAAGATGAAATGTATTATAGAATCCCGTGAGCCCAGGATTAACGTGGTCTTTGTTTCTCTGCTGAGTCTCCCGTGGGTGTCAGCGAGGGCCCCGGGTCCCGGGGTGACTAGGTCCTCTTTCCCTGCTGTTCCAGCCGGTTCTTGTATCCTGGAAAGAATGGCAGACTGGGAGACTTCTTCGGGGACCCTGGCAAGACTTCTGCTGAGCTCACCCCCTCGGGGAGTAAAGACGGGAAGTACGAGTTGTTAACAGCAGCAAATGAAGTCATTGTCGAAGAGATTAAAGATCTGATGACCAAGAGTAAGAGCTTTTTTTTCCCTTACAGTTATTTTGCAAACGGAGTTGAAGGTGGGGGTCCCAGAGGCTTTAAGCCCAAAGCTTTGAGGTTCCTGACACTCCCTGCTTGCTTGTTGCTCTCCCCGGTTCACGGTCATTTCCAGCACGGTCTGTGCTCCGTCCGCCTGCCCCCGCAGCCCCGGGTGCCGCGGCCCGGCCTCTGCTTCTTGAAATTCGCTCTTTGTCTCTCCTCCTGTCCATCTGGTTTTCCTCTGCTCTGGGCCTTCTTTCTTTTTCTGACTTTTCTTTTACCTGGTCTCTTTAAAAAAGTATTTTTTCTTCTGCACGCCTTGTTTTCTTTTGCCGTGTGTCCTCCCCCACTCTTTACTGTTTCCCTATGGACACTCCCCGACCTCTGCCCCGGCCCAGTCTTCCTTTTCCGTGCATGCATGCCGCCCCCCAGTGGCCCCCCGTGTCCCTGGATTCGTTTCCGTTTCCTTCCTCCTCGGTCCCACCCAGTCCGCTCCCCATCTCCATCACCCGCACCCACCCAGAATTTTCCAGAGTCTGATCAGCTCTGAAATCCCACAGCCTCTGAAGGTCCCTCACAGGCCGGCCCTCGGTACCCGTGCTGTAGCTGCACCTGGGCCTGCCGAGGTTCGGGCCGGGCCGTTCTCTGTGGTAGGGGCCGCCCCGTGCGCTGCGGCGTCCCCGGCCTCGGCCACTGGCTGCCACACGTTCATTCCCTGGCCGTGACAACCGCGTGTGTCTGCAGACAGGGCCGGATGCCTCCTGCAGGGCGCACTTGCTGCAGGTCTTGTCCCAGCTTCCTGAGTGGCACCTGTCTCTTCCTTTTCGGTCCTTCCGCTCAGCCTCCAGCGTTCTCCCCCTGGGGGCCAGAGCGGCTCCTCTGTGGCCTAAAGGCCTTCTCTGGTGCCTGCTGCCCGGGTCCCTGTTACCTGCAGGCCATGTTTTTCAGAGCGTGGCCTCTGTCAGAATCCCCTGGCGGGGAGAGGCGACTCTGTAGGGACAGGAGGGCGTCCGTGGTTTGCGGGGCTGTGGAGGAGCAGGGAGCGGCCGGGAATGGGCTCTCGTGATCTTTTGGGGTGAGGGAAACGCCCTAAAATGACGTAGTACTTAAAATCATTGCCTTGAGTACTTAAAGGGGTGAGTTTTATGTCCGTAAGTTGTATGGCAAGAAGGCTGTTACAGGTCCCCTGGCGGGCCCGTTGGAGGAAAGCGCCAGGCCCCACTCCGCAGGTTTTGATGGCCTGGGTCTA